TGTGATGTCACAAATCATGCTGGTAGGCCCCGCCCCTTAAAATCAGATTTTCAATGAGCACAGAGAAACTTTCCACTTTCAGCAGATGAATGTGAAAACATCCTTCTAGTGTCAAGCTCTGCACAGACAGCATTCAAACAGCACACTGTAGGAACAAGAACAAACACTGATTTTCGAATGTAGGGCGGCTTTAAATAAACGTACATCTGCCAATATGATTGCACAGTGAGTAAACATTAAATCAATTACCCCCAAAAAATGATCCAAATAAAGTCTTACAACCACTGGTTGTCTCACTGCAGCAGTTATAAACTACATCAAAGTCAGTCTAAAAACACACACAGATGTCATGTCTGTCCTTTCTGCTTGTAAATCTGAGACCAGGGAGAATGCTGATTTAGGGTGGGTTTCCCAACAGCCTGCCACTAACTACAGTGATTCCTCCGAAGCAATTAAAAGGCTGTCACTTTACCAGCCAAGGCTGGTCCACCTCCTTACTATTACTTGTGCTGCAGGTGCCAAAGGAAACAGAAGGAATGTGTATCTATCAAAGCTGGTTTCAATAACAGTGCTACAGTTCCTGGTTATGCCTGGATACAGCTGCACAAAACAGCCATTGTTGCTGTGTGATTAAGCCGTACCACACACGCACAAATATATAATTAGGCAACATTCGCTACAATGGCCGGTACCTGTCAGCATACAGCGCTCTGTGTAGTGGATGAATGGAGGTGTCTGTCTGACAGGGAGGGAGAGAAAAGAAGAAAGAGAGGAGGAGGAGGGAAGGTGGGAATGCCTAATTGCAGGCTGTACAGTGATACAGGAGGTAAGGAATGTGTCTGACAAGCACATCTCTGATCTTTTGAGCGGCGGGAAGCCTGCTGACAGAAAACGAGAGGCTCCTAGGCCAGCCAGCCATACAAGGATATGGTTGGCTCAGCCTGTGGGTGACCTGAATGGGTAAGTCATTTCCAGCAAAATAGTGGATAATGTGAGCAAGTGTATGGAGATCTTAATGTCTGTCCCCTCTTGGTAAGAAAATTAAGTATGCTTACTGAGAAAAATGGCCAGATAAGTATTTCCAGATAGCTACTCCTGAGCAATATCACAAATCTTTGTTTGATACTAAGTCAGGGAGACTCACTCCCAAAGTTTGAATTACACAAACAGAAGAGCCCAGGAAAATATAGAAAATGGTGTGTTTTATCACTAATAAAAAAACGTTTTTACAGTTTCAGGGTTCAGTGGCTGGATCAGTACAATCAGGGTGTTAGTGTGTCTGCATGCAGGGACGCAGAGCAGGAAAAAGTAAAAATCCATTGGGAAAGTCCCATTATTAAATGATGTGGGTACAATCCCAAAGAACTTTTTAGCATTTAGCCTACTTTTTCAATGTTTATTGAAGAGATTTCTTTTTTAGTGAGTAAAAAAACTGGCATACCTGATTGGTTTATAGATTGATATACTGTATATATATGAGTAAGCATCTCAGTGTTTTGCACTCTTCATCAGTGCTACAGACACAGCGTGTAGGACTGGGGGGGCCGTGGACGGGGGAGGGGCCCATGGGGAATGCCTGTGTACAGGGTTCAGAATTTTGTGCTATGCCCCTGTACAGATATGGAGATTTTATAGGCTGAGAGGAAATAACAATACCAACTAAAGGTCCACTTACTAGCTTCTTCTTTCTGTCTTCCTCAACAGATGGACTTTGCCCAGTTGTCATGGTGATGGATTGTTATCATGCAAGCTTTTAAATAAGCCTTCATTCATTTTAGGATTTCTTGTCCACGTAAAGGTTAAGCATCTAAGTTCATACTTGATCTTGTAAATAGCAATCCCAACTCAAGCCCAACTCACTAGCTCTTTCCAGAGCTTTCAACTATATCACACAAAGAAAAGCTTGTGTTAATTGAACCTTCATAAGTCCCGCCCCTTTTTGCTCTGTTCTCCAATAACAGTTGAGTAAGCATCTGTCAGAACCTCAGTTCTCCTTTCCTGTACTTACATATGCTATGTGCTAGCTTGTGTTTGTTGAAAAGACAAGAGATCGTTAGCTAGTGTTTTATTACAGAACAAAACTCTGGCAAACTAGTTAACTCATCTACATTAATCATTACTTATATCTGATTGCTAGCATTTTACTAGCTAATTTAAGATGTGGCTATATACTGTAGGCTATATGTCATTTTTATCTTTTAACCATCTTCAAAATGTGGTTGTCTTTTCAACGTAGACAAGGCTAGCACATAGCATATCTGAGTACAGGAAAGGAGGAAGTTGACTGAGGTTCCAAAAAGTTGATAAAGCTCCCTCCATTGAACACTAACTTCTTAATCGAGCCATTAATATATTGCTTCAAATTTCTTATGATTATTATCATTACATGTACAACCCTTTCTTTGTCTCCTCTGCAATGTTTGTAATAGTTATGTTATCGGTACATGTTCTGAATAACGTGAGAAAGCATTACTGTGGTCAAGTGGTGAGTGACACAGAGCAACCACTACTTGGAGTGCGTCAGTTGATGCTTTAGGTGGCCACAGCAGAGTGAGGAAGACAGGATGAGACTCGGTCCTGGATGATACTCATACAGTACTAAAACATGACCACAGAAACCCTAATCGAAGATTGCAACAGCTTCACAGAAGTGACGCCACAGGAATGTTACTCAGACACAACAGCAGTTTACAAGAAAATCAGATGCTTTTATTAATCTGCTCTGACACACAGATTACTGTGCACACACGGACACACATACATTATCATCAGTACAGCCATGTATGGCAGTTATTGTGCACAAGATCTTCAGTCAGCAATATAGACAGACAGGAGCCCAGTATCATACCACCCTGTTCCACACTGGTGTGGCCTGATGTCTCTGCCACACACACACACACTGTCTCTGACATCACATAGGCTGGGTCCTAGCTTGGCGGATCCCCCCACTGCTTTCTCCCCACCGTGTCGATTTGTGAGTCACTGACATCACTTCCCCCCCAACAGTAACAAACGGCTGAGTTGTTGGGAGAGTCCACTGGATGAGAGGAGAGGAGGGACGTTTGAGTCAATCCCATGGAATCCATGATATACTGTACTGGGCTTTGTGTTGGAAAGGGGAAAACCAGCTACATCATCCCTACTAGGCTTTTGTTTACTCCGGCCTGAAGAACACCTCCTTTGTTTTGCTTTTTATCTTTTCTTCCTCTTTCTTTCATCACCATGGACTTATAGGTGTGAGCAGTTAATGGGCCGAGGGCTGAATCATGGAGGTGGGTCTGAGAAATTCATTTTCTCCTGGAACTTGTGACCAATAGTGTTTAAGCGGAGGTTGAACCTCACGATCCAACTGTAATAATGAAAACGTTTATGGAGTGGAAAATTTTATCGTTAAAATTTTCTCGCAAATAACACTTGAATGTTTTCCACTTAGTATCTAGATTCCCCACCGTTTTTATGAAAGAAGGGAGTGGTCAAGCCATTTAACATAACACATTCCCACCACCTGCACCTTGTAGGGGATTTTAAATGTTTTACTATAGATCAAGAATTTGTTTATGCTAAGCTACATCATGAGTTCCTCATTCCCTCATCCTGTTATGTCGAGAACAGTAGTTCACAACCTGTTTTGTCTGACGTACTCTAAGAGGCCCTGCCAGATGAGCTCAATTTTACTGATTATACTGATGTATTTTGACATGCATTACTTTTTATACAGTGAAATTGCTAATTTCACCTAAAGATCCCTCCAGACATGTATTAAGACATTTATACAAATTGTTTGCTTGGAACAATAATGTGTGTCTGA